ACCCATGGGTCCTGTTGTCAGCTTCACTGTGTTCACAGTGCTCAGACCAGCAACTCTCTGGTTGTGGTGGTTTTGATGAAGCTCCAAGTTTCTTTTCAAGCTTGATGAAAAACAGGAAGGTTAACAAATGGACACAATTCTGCCCAGTTTCTGCATATCAAGGCTTTCTCAGAAGCAGTTTTCAGATGACAGAGAAAGCAGATTCCCTCCCCCAGTTCATAGATGGATGCTTCAAGCAGCATTAAGTAATCAGGCAATAATTTGATATATGCAGTTCCTGGGTATTAGATACCACATGACCTGCCAAATCCCTCTCTTTCCAACTGCCCCCATGAGAGACAAGAAGAAACCCCAAGGCTGGGAAACTCAACAACTAGAACACATAGGTATAAGCACCATTTTCAGTTTCTCTCATGAGCAGACAGGGGAATGTTAGTTTAGAATTCAAGCAGCATCAGGAAGCATATCACAACAGTTAGCTATCATAAGCCAGCACAGCCTGCCAAGGTGACTTCAATATACAAACCAGCTATGCAGATGACTTCATTAAAACAGGGGCCTTTTCAATCCTCATCAGAGATAAAACTGCTCCAGGATATGTTTGCAGGATGGCAGGGGGGTTGCACTTGATGATCTTAAGGTCCTTGCAAACCCTAATTATTCTGTGATTCTAGGACAGGAATTATCTATAACTTCACTAAATGGTGCCAAAACTGTTCCTGAACAGCCAAAATTCCCAGCGCTACCAGGTGTGGTTTTTGAAGCAACCTACTATATCCTCAGCCAGGATCACATTAAACAGAACAGAGACTTACAGGAAGAAGAAAACTCTGCTTAAGCAGACTTACGTTAAAAAGCATATATTTAATGGCATGAGATCAAGGTGCCATCAAATATAATGGCAAATACATACTTGATTCTTCTTTGCAGAATAAGTAAAGGGATGAAAATCTGCATGACTACCTTCACTCTTCCAATGTCATTAATTTCCTTGAATTTCACCCATTTAGTATAGTGCTGGGGAACACTGTAACTTCCCCTGCCAGTAAACTGTTGCTGTATGTGTGATCAGAATCACAAAGAAACACATTTTTATAGCGATGGGATACCATATTTCAAGTCTCAAACCATAAATACTATTTTGTTTAGTGTGCAAAACGGTTAATCTTTTGCACGTTGTATGAGTAAATATTAAAAATTGCTGGGCCTCCAAAACATTCTAAATAGTTACTTGAAATCCTTGAGGAGGCAGAACAAAATCCTAAGAGTGACTCCTTGTGTTACCAAATATTATTTTGTGTAAGATACTCAGGGTTGGTTGGAATCTAGCCCCTCTAAGAAGAGAGAAGTGTAAGACCAGGAACTTATAAATATGGTCAAATGACCACAGCTGATGCTGCTGACACAGTTACACTGGCATAAAAGGCATCTCTCTTGCACAGTTTGCTTTGATAAAACTGCAGAAATAAGCTCTATCTGTAGAATCACTCTTACTCATGTTACTTCAATCCACTTCAGAGTTGCATCAATTTACTGGTATTGGTTACTAAACTAAACAGTCTGTACAAAACTTCCCTGGAGGTCAACCACACATAGTCCAGTGACTCCAGTAAGCCCAGTAAAGGAGGGAATCTAGTCCAGAATTTTCCAAAAGCATTAACTACAACACTGCACTTCAGTGTCACCTTTAAACAATGTGCTGAATGCCCTGTAACAGAGAGAACTTTCCTGTGTCTGCAAGGTAGGTTAGCAGTTCAAACCACTTTGCCTGTCAAGAAAAGGAAGGGAAATGTTTCCTGGAAAATAGTTTAAATGGTCACACAAAATACATGAAAAAAGTCCTAGACATTTTCTGTCTCTTGGTCCTATGATGCGGATCAAGCATGTGATCCTTCAGCTTTGTTTTGACAGCCAAGAGGAAGATGAAGTAGGAGTTCAGACAACCACAGGACAGTGCAGCAATTCTCAGCTAATTTGACAAAGGCATAGCCATGATAATAAAAAGGGAGAAAGCTTCAGTGGTCACTTAGCATCCCGTATATGAGGGCATTTCTGCTGGAAAGTAAAATAGTTATGTTAAATACGTATTTGCAACACAATTGTTCAACTTGACATGCTGTGTCACCGGTATCAAAACTGATTCCTTGCCAAAACATTCTTCCATTTGACTATATGTAACCAATACAAGCAGTGTCATCTCCTCAGTAGTAAGAAAGACTTTCTGCATTGTAAATAACTATGATGCTCTGGCGCTAAGTGGAAGACAAAACAGAGGTATATAGGGAGTCCATAGGACCCAAGTAGTAAAAAAAATACTCAAACTGTCACTGAGATCCAGCCTCAGGCAAAACTAGGACAAACCCACTGCTGCACATGGATAAAGGTAGGAATCTTCTTCCACACATAGGCATAAAGAGATGGCATGCTAGTAATCTCAAGGGAGCACCACAACCATGGACAAGCAGCTGAGCAGTTGGCTGAATGTTGGTGGCTGTGTGTTTTGGCTGTGCATGGTGTGCAAAGCTGCCATATGCTGTGTGGCCCAGCCAGGGTCTCAAGCTGCTTCTCCACATGAGGATCTCAATCAGTACCCCACTGAATGTGCCTCCACACTGAGGAATTCCAAAAGGGCTGCCAAGATCCATAAAAAGCAATATCCCCACACGGTTGTCACTGCTGGGAAAACCAAGGTCTTCTGTGTCTTCTACTGTGGGCTTTTTGGAGCAGGAATAGGAAACACAAGTGCTACCATTAATATTTGTCCTCAGAATGCTGAACCATAAAGTAGAACTTGTAAGAAAAAAATGATCATCTTCATAGTACCTGAGCATCCCTTTGCATTATCAGGCAGGCATCAGGTCTCTGCCAGGTTGGAAGGTATATCGTACTCTGTCTTCAGCAAAAATGAAAGAAATGCTAGAAGAAAAATCAAAGCCACCCATTTGGCCATCTCAAATTAGACTGCAGGTCTTGGAGAGTGTGAGTATCTATTGCATCACTCTGTCCAGCTAGGCAGCAGAAGGTACGCCACTGCTTTGTGTAGGTGTATCACACTCCCTTTCAGAAACTGGTAAGGTAGTAACTGCAGCAAAGTGTGGTAGAAGTCTTGGCCGCACACTCTCCAGGCAACCATTTCACAGCATGTGAAATGGAAGTGGTCCCAGCAGCTGCCATGGATGACGTCCCCAAGGCTCTGGTGAGGGTGGAGTGCTATGTGCCTTGGTGGGACATGGCACACATGGACACAGCCCACGGAAATGCACCACACCACTTTCCAGCCCAAAGAGACACTTCAGCAGGAGGAGAGGGACCTGGACTCCTCTCCACACCGCTGTGCCAGTGTGCCAGCAGAGCCCCAGCCACCACTCAGCCACAGGACTGGACACAAGCTCAGCCTCTCCTACCACACATCCTAAATTCATGTCACCAGGTGGACAGATTTAGTAAAGGACACTGTAACCTGGCCAGTCATTCTAATCCTGCCAGCCTATTTGCCGGTCAGTAGTATTGTGCACCTCTAAAGACAAGGCAGTGCATAGGATTTAAATGCCACTGTGAGGCAAAATAGGAAAGGCAAGAAAATATCGGCTCTACTTTGGGTAGAAAAACACTATGGCACTTGCTACAACAAAGATAAAAGAAGCATTCCTGTTTTACACAGGAAGAATGTGGTTATTATATTATTCCCGTTACAGAGTTACAGCTTGTTACAGCTGAGTATAAGGTAGAAACAAGCGCTTGGATGTACGCTGAAGTGAACGCTTTGTACTTGATGGTGTCAGATGCTGAAAAGCGATTCGAGACACCAAACAGATTTTACAACCACTTTTGAAGACGAGATGACACTCTTCTGCCATCAATTGATACACTTAGAGCAGAAGGCGCTTCTTTGGGAAGCTGCTCTTACATTTCTTTTGCACGTGCGAGAGCAGCCAACAAACCTCCTCAGCTCTAGCAAACCCTTCCCTCACTCCCCCCCAGACACACATGCAGCAGATCCCTCTTAGATCCCCTGGATAAGGATTCTGCAAACCTCCACCCCTCTTCCTCTTATACCCAGCCAACAAAACCTCCAGGCATCCATACAGCAAAGCCCCTCTTTAGGTCTCCCCAGGACATCTATGCAGCAAAGCCTTTACTATCTCCCCAGCACGTAGGATCCAGCTTCAGCTCACCGGTAAATCCATACCCTTGGCTTCACTGACCCCCACCCAGCACACCCTTCCGTAGCTCCCCGGGACATCTGGGCAGCAGCGCTCCTCACCTACCGCGGACATCCAGGCAGCAGCCTCCCTTTGCTCCCGGGACATCCGTACAGCAACCCCGCTCAGGTCCCCGGGGTTACCCACCGGGCAGAGCCCTCTGAGCTCCCCGGGCACCGCCGCATCCCCTCCTCCGCAGCAAGCCCTTCCCGCAGAAAACCAACTCCCTCGGCAGCAACCCCAGCACCGGACCCGGCGGGGCGGGACCGGGGCCGATGGGGCCGCGTTGACTGGGGGTGACCCATGGGGGGCTCTGGGACCGGAGCTCGGGACCAGGAGGGGGTCTTTCCCGCGGGGTCTCCCAGGGGCGGCCTCACCTTCTTGCTGTCGGCGGCGGCGGTGAAGCCCCTGCTCTCGCCGCTCACGGAGGACGAGCGGCTGGGGCCGAGGAGCTCCTGTTGCGGGGACATCACGTCCATGCAGCCCCGCGCCGCAGCGCTCCCGCCGCGGGGACACCCGCACCGCCGCCACAGCCCGCACCATGGACAGGGCGCGCCGCGACACGCCCCCCCGAGGGACACGCCCCCCCCCGCGAGGACACGCCCCCCGCAGGTTCGCCCCGCGCTGCGCGAAGACCCGTGCGTCGGGGAGGACGCGACGCGCATGCGCCGGCCGTGGAAGCCGGGCGGGGGCGTGGGGGGTGCGCTCGTGCTGGGGAGGGGGCGAGCAAACTCTCCGCGCGCATGCGCGCTGAGGGCCGGTGGGAGACAGCAGGCGGGCGGCGACCAGGGGTGGGAGCTAGGACCCGGGAGGAGGGGGCTCCGGGTGCTGAGGGTACAGGTGTTGGGGGTCCCGGTGCTGCGGGTACAGGTGTTGGGGGCTCCCGGTGCTGAGGGTACAGGTGTTGGGGGTCCCGGTGCTGCGGGTACAGGTGTTGGGGCTCCCGGTGCTGAGGGTACAGGTGTTGGGGGTCCCGGTGCTGGGGGTACAGGTGTTGGGGGTCCCGGTGCTGCGGGTACAGGTGTTGGGGGTCCCGGTGCTGGGGGTACAGGTGTTGGGGGTCCCGGTGCTGGGGGTACAGGTGGTCGGGGACCCGGGGCTGGGGGTACAGGGGTAGGGGGTCCCGGTGCTGCGGGTACAGGTGTTGGGGGTCCCGGTGCTGCGGGTACAGGTGTTGGGGGTCCCGGTGCTGCGGGTACAGGTGTTGGGCTCCCGGTGCTGCGGGTACAGGTGTTGGGGGTCCCGGTGCTGCGGGTACAGGTGTTGGGGCTCCCGGTGCTGAGGGTACAGGTGTTGGGGCTCCCGGTGCTGAGGGTACAGGTGTTGGGGGTCCCGGTGCTGCGGGTACAGGTGCTGGGGGCTCCCGGTGCTGAGGGTACAGGTGTTGGGGGTCCCGGTGCTGAGGGTACAGGTGTTGGGGGTCCCGGTGCTGGGGGTACAGGTGTTGGGGGTCCCGGTGCTGGGGGTACAGGTGTTGGGGCTCCCGGTGCTGCGGGTACAGGTGTTGGGTGTCCCGGTGCTGAGGGTACAGGTGTTGGGGGTCCCGGTGCTGGGGGTACAGGTGTTGGGGCTCCCGGTGCTGCGGGTACAGGTGTTGGGGGTCCCGGTGCTGAGGGTACAGGTGTTGGGGCTCCCGGTGCTGAGGGTACAGGTGTTGGGGCTCCCGGTGCTGAGGGTACAGGTGTTGGGGGTCCCGGTGCTGCGGGTACAGGGTAGGGTACAGGTGTTGGGGGTCCCGGTGCTGAGGGTACAGGTGTTGGGGGTCCCGGTGCTGGGGGTACAGGTGTTGGGGGTCCCGGTGCTGGGGGTACAGGTGTTGGGGCTCCCGGTGCTGCGGGTACAGGTGTTGGGTGTCCCGGTGCGGAGGGTACAGGTGTTGGGGGTCCCGGTGCTGGGGGTACAGGTGTTGGGGCTCCCGGTGCTGCGGGTACAGGTGTTGGGTGTCCCGGTGCTGCCGGTACAGGTGTTGGGGGTCCCGGTGCTGGGGGTACAGGTGTTGGGGGTCCCGGTGCTGCGGGTACAGGTGTTGGGGGTCCCAGTGCTGCGGGTACAGGTGTTGGGGGTCCCGGTGCTGAGGGTACAGGTGTTGGGGCTCCCGGTGCTGCGGGTACAGGTGTTGGGGCTCCCGGTGCTGCGGGTACAGGTGTTGGGGCTCCCAGTGCTGGGGGTACAGGTGTTGGGGCTGCCGGTGCTGCGGGTACAGGTGTTGGGGGTCCCGGTGCTGCCGGTACAGGTGTTGGGGGTCCCGGTGCTGCCGGTACAGGTGTTGGGGGTCCCGGTGCTGGGGGTACAGGTGTTGGGGCTGCCGGTGCTGCGGGTACAGGTGTTGGGGGTCCCGGTGCTGGGGGTACAGGTGTTGGGGGTCCCGGTGCTGGGGGTACAGGTGTTGGGGGTCCCGGTGCTGGGGGTACAGGTGTTGGGGGTCGCGGTGCTGAGGGTACAGGTGTTGGGGCTCCCGGTGCTGCGGGTACAGGTGTTGGGGGTCCCGGTGCTGTGGGTACAGGTGTTGGGGCTCCCGGTGCTGAGGGTACAGGTGTTGGGGCTCCCGGTGCTGAGGGTACAGGTGTTGGGGGTCCCGGTGCTGCGGGTACAGGTGTTGGGGGTCCCGGTGCTGAGGGTACAGGTGTTGGGGGTCCCGGTGCTGCGGGTACAGGTGTTGGGGGTCCCGGTGCTGAGGGTACAGGTGTTGGGGGTCCCGGTGCTGAGGGTACAGGTGTTGGGGCTCCCGGTGCTGAGGGTACAGGTGTTGGGGGTCCCGGTGCTGGGGGTACAGGTGTTGGGTGTCGCGGTGCTGCGGGTACAGGTGTTGGGGGTCCCGGTGCTGAGGGTACAGGTGTTGGGGGTCCCGGTGCTGAGGGTACAGGTGTTGGGGCTCCCAGTGCTGAGGGTACAGGTTTTGGGGGTCCCGGTGCTGGGGGTACAGGTGTTGGGTGTCGCGGTGCTGCGGGTACAGGTGTTGGGGGTCCCGGTGCTGAGGGTACAGGTGTTGGGGGTCCCGGTGTTGTGGGTACAGGTGTTGGGGGTCCCGGTGCTGAGGGTACAGGTGTTGGGGGTCCCGGTGCTGAGGGTACAGGTGTTGGGGCTCCTGGTGCTGCGGGTACAGGTGTTGGGGGCTCCCGGTGCTGAGGGTACAGGTGTTGGGGGTCCCGGTGCTGGGGGTACAGGTGTTGGGGGTCCCGGTGCTGGGGGTACAGGTGTTGGGTGTCGCGGTGCTGCGGGTACAGGTGTTGGGGGTCCCGGTGCTGGGGGTACAGGTGTTGGGGGTCCCGGTGCTGCGGGTACAGGTGTTGGGGGTCCCGGTGCTGGGGGTACAGGTGTTGGGGGTCGCGGTGCTGCGGGTACAGGTGTTGGGGGTCCCGGTGCTGGGGGTACAGGTGTTGGGGGTCGCGGTGCTGCGGGTACAGGTGTTGGGGGTCCCGGTGCTGGGAGCTGCTGCATGGCCCCAGGGATGGGTGTTGCGCTGCCCAGAGTTACCCTGTCCCACCTCCTCCCTGCAGCGGGCAGGCCAGCACAAGACGTGATCCCCTCCAGAGCCCTCCCAAGGGAGGGTCCCCATGTGAGGGGCAAGCAGCGGGGCAGGTGCCAGTGCAGGTACAGGGGTCCCTGGCATGACGGAGGGACAGCCATGGCAGCACAGGGTCTGAGTTGACTGGGCAGTTGCAGAGAGGCTGAGGGGATGCCTCTCTGCTCCAGAGAGCCTTGAACAATTGAGGAGGAAGAATCACTAGTTAAGTTACTGGATCGTGTTGGCTCAAGAGCAAATGTGAGTAAATAGGCTATAAATAAATCTTGGCTGGAGAAGGGAAGAAAACGTCCCGATCATTGTACTGATTGTATGAAGAAGATGTTTTGGAAGACTCCCCCACCAGCCATAGTTCCATGAATGGTGGTGGTTTGATAAGGCTGTCATGTTTGTGTGTTACCGTATATCCTCATTAAATACGGTGTCTGGAATAGCAAGGGGCTACTGCTGATCACCCAAGAGGTTCATTCTAATCCTGCCTTTCTACACTTCATGGGGCATATTTTTATGTCCAGCCTTTCCAGCTGTCACAGGCTCTATGTGCATTTTTCCCCGTGTTGATCACATGATTTTACATCCCTATGATGATCTAGATTTACAGGCAGATGGCCATACATAAGTAATGCAAACCACCATTTAAAAAAACCTTCTGAACTTTTAAAGTGAGTCTCTTAAAGCCTTTATATCAGCTAAGTTTTGTGCCTCTTGGCCTTGGTGAGCGCCGTCCCTCCGTGCCATGCAGACCTTGTCCTCAAAGCTCTTGCAGGTTCTCTCATCCCTCCGCTCCCATCCCCTTGTGTCCTTGTTTCCCTTCTGCTATAGTGCTGGTCCCTCAGGGGTTAGTGGCATTTGAAGCAAAAGTGGAGCAGTAGCTTACCCTGATATAACACCCACATCTATTAAGATGGGGAGGCATGTCTCTGATTGCTGCACAGCACCCAGCCCAGTGGGATGCTGTGCCCAGGCAGGTCTCCAAGCTTCTGTGAGGGGGCTAAGAAAAGTTCTATCAGGGTAGAGCAGAAACAGTGCAAAATGTCTATTCATAGCCAAGGATAGATATATACACACATATATATATATTATATATATATATATATATTTGGTAACCTTCTCCCCAGAAACATTTGCAAGGGATGATATTCCTGGTGACATTTTGGAAACGGGGCTGTAAGTGTATGTTTATTTTGCAAAGGAAACATTACATAAGCTTTCCAAAACGTTCGCACGTGCTTAAAGGTGTTCTTTTATCTACTACCATGAGCACATTTCCTACACTCCTCACTGGATACTGGCTCTTTCACCTACTCACTGAGATAAATAGATTAAAATCTTGCATTTGCAGAGCAAGGTTGGAGAAGCTGGCTTCTTTGCGTAGAACACATACAGCCATGCAGGTTTTGGTAGCTGCAGTGCTTCTCTGGTGCTTTCCCATGCCTTTCCTTAGCCTGCTCTGCCAGAAACATGGATGGGAAGTTTAACACTGGAAATGTGACTTTGGCAGGAGTGACTTGAAGGCAGCAGGCTTTGCAAGCCTTGATCCCCTCACTGCAGCATGGACAGAGCTGTGGAGGAAGCACGCTGGGTACAGCAGCAATGCAGAGGCAGTCTGGAGCACCCTGCCTGTAAAAAGACCTCTATCGTGGTGCTGGCAGCAAGCGGATCCCATGCCTCATGATGGTTAATCTCAGAGGGTGAAAATAAATAAACACACGTGCAAAAAACTGCCAAAAATGGGAAATGGGGAAAATTTGTTTCCCTGAAGGACTGTTCAGGGCTTAACTGACAGTTTCTTTCTGGCAAATCAGGTCTTTGTTTATCGATTTTAGTTTGAATTTTGAGAGACCTTTGAAAATTGGTGGTGTGATGCAGGGGGACAGGATGCTATTGCAGCCTGTGCAGCATTCCCTGTGCTGCCTCTATGCAACTGTTACCTGCTGCTGTGCAGAGATTCCCAATGAAAAAAACACCAGCTTTCCTTCACTGCTAGTCCAGGAATGCAGAAACTCACACATGGGCTAGTGCGGAGCCAGCCATAGGGGTGGGGCTGCTGCTGCCCAAACCACCCTGGTCCCTGCCACCCATCTGACATCAGCCAGCCACAGGGCACCTGCTGTGTGCTTCCTGTCATGACACCAATGCTGTCTGAGTTTTGACATCAGCCTTGGTACTTCTGACCCACATCGGTCTGAACAATGAAAAGCCAAGGTAATACAGTTGCACCAAACCATCCTTAAACTCCACCAACTGTCATCACCCCCAGCTAAAATCCTGCATAAGCTCTGTCCTAAGAAAAGATGTACAAGGCTCAGAAAATAACATGCATGTTCATAAAAAGATTTTCTTTCTGTTGCCTTGGCCACAGTGTTGTGTGAAGAAAAATACTGGGGAGACAGAGTGGGGATTGGGACACAGAAATATATGGGTGTTGTAGGAAAATTGCATTTGTGAACAAGACAGAAGAATTATTCATGGTCAAACCCATCCAGATGGAAACGTGACCCCTGTAAATCTGTCACATTAGGGAAACCCAAAGTAAACTGTTAGCAAATGCTAGATATGCAGGCTGCAGCTACCTCCAGTTTTTATGAGATTTTCAAACACATTAGCACTAGCAGACATTCCCTTCCAAGAAAATCATCATATACAAGAACTATGTGAGGCTAGAAATGAGTGAGCTGTGCTTAACTTGCACTGAATAAATGTGATTTTACCAAATCTGCCCCAAAAGGGTACGTTTGCCTGAAAACTAATTTTATGAACCTCACAAGTACCTCATGCAATTAAAGCCCTGTAATAGATCCAAGTTGGAAACTCCAGAGGCAGTTGTATTTCAACGAGATCCGATGTATGACTTTCTGGTTTAATAACGCAGAATCTAGAATCTCATGCTGCTCATGTATTGTTAGCAGCTAAATACAGGGCAATATCCTGGACAGACTGGAGCTACTCAGGTGGAGAAAAGCTGAGCTGAAAGGAAAGGTTGGAGGAGGAGAACAGGATGGATGGAATGGGTGCTGGAACTCTGTACAGGAGCTCTAACAGCAGGTTTTTACCCTGCAGTGTGAATCCTTCATTGCTTATCTTCACAATATTTGCTGCTGCTTCTTGTCAAAAAGGTTGCGGTAAACTGAGAACATCCTCTATGCTCCCAGAGATTCTGGGCAGAAGAAAGCCCCGGTACCAAGCCCTGCCCTTTTGATAGCAGCTTGCTAATAAAATTGTTAAACACTGTGTGAATAGTTGGTAGCTGGAATTCATCAATGTCCTGGGTTTTATACCATAACATTATTTGTGCTTTGTGCAGATAGGCTCACATTTAACAGGAAATACCCCCTTCTGCCCCTTCCCATGCTCTAACATTTGCAGGGCCTTTTGTGCCACATGCTTTGCTTCAGGGACTCCATAAGCATTCAGAAACACCTCACTTGGGTAGTTCTGCCAAAGCTTGTCAAAGAAACAAAGGTCTACCCACTCTCTCTATCCCAAAAATGCAGGGTGGCCCCATGCGAATATGGAGTCTGAGTCTGCAGCACGTGGCATATTCCCAGCAGCAGGGACAAGTGTGCACATTGAATAGGGACTGCAGCTGGCAACTCTACTGTAGAAATGGGAACAGTGCCACTACTGGGAGAGCCTGATCATTGAGTGCTCCACATGGTATTACCACTATGGCCAGCTAGAGCCATCCTCCCACAGCCACACCTGCTGACCAGATATGAGGGAAGACTTTCATGACCCAGCATACAGAGGAACCTACCAATGAGCCTACCAATTCTTAATATCTTTCAGCCTTATTACATATGCCGTTTGAAATTCACTCCAGCGCATCAAAGGGAAGTTTGCCTTTGAAGGGCTGCATGCTTCCTGCTTGCAAACATCACTCTGATTTAATTAAGCTTGATTTTATAATCACTGTAGTTAAACCAGTATGATGCTTGTGAACAAATATGGCTAACATAAGCACCTCAACATGCACATGGCCTGCTATCAACACCACCCATAAGCAACATTCAAATTTTCTGACCATTCACATTTTCCCTGTTTTTCCTATGTCTTACTTCTGATTCTTATGCATTATTTCTTTTGTTCACATTAATATGCTCCTAAGGCTGTTTATTTTTGGTTTCTCTGCACTGAAGATTTTCCTACAGTCATTGTCCAGAGATCAATCTTTTAATTTCAAATTGTGAGGCAAAGTTAAAAGTCAGTAACTGGATATTCATCCATGAGGGACCTCACGTAGGAGCTAAGTATTATACATGAAAGGATAGCATTTCATTTACAATAAGGCCTAATCTTTTCCCCTTTGTGAGCAACATTTCTGAACTAAATCTGAGCACTTGTGCCTGGAAGCCATTTAACTTTGCTTTCAGCTAGGTGAGTAGTGACGGAAATACACAGAACTGAATCTGCAGCATAATCCTGAATACTAAATGCATGTGCTGCTAAGACTAGGGAGGCTGACTTTAAGAAGCATCTAGTAAGTGTTCAGCTATACGCAGGACATGTCTTTTCAGTACAAGGTTGAGCATTCTTGAGTCTCACTGTGCCCAGCACACTGCTTGACTCTTGGAACTCCCACAGTCCACAGCACTCACAGTGATGTTCAGTGCTGCGGTTGGTTTCTATTCATCAATATATTCTTGAGAAAAGGCATCCTATGACCTAAAATTTGATGAGGGGGATTTTTCAAATGCTTGACTCACAATTATGGTTGAGAAACATGGTTATCAGCATACAGGTCATAAATAACCTATGCTATTTTCTGTGTTATAGCCAGGTGTTGCTGACAGACTCCCTGGAGCTCCACAAAAGCATTGTCCATGTAGACATCCAAATTCCCATTTCAGTGGGTTGAGGCACAGAGTGATAAATTAGGTAATATGAGTCAGGTTGGCATATATGTGCCCGGTGA